CCGCTGCTCTGCTCTCAGCCCGGGCACCGCGCAGCTGCCAGCTGTCCTTGGAGATGCCTGCTTCTCTGCCTCGGAGGCCTGCCCTGGTCCAGTTCAGCTCTTCCCTCTTGGTCCTGCCAGCTGAGGTCTCTCAAAGGCCTCTTCCTGGTCCCCCAGCCACCAACGTCCATGCTGTTCTCTCCTCTGCCGAAGGCTGTGTGCGACCCCCCATCTCTGGCCCGCAGGACTGACAGCACCGAGAGCTCAGGGCCCCTCCTGTGCCCACTGTATTTACGACGTGCCAGTTAGTGTCCACAAGTGCTTTGTGACTGGATGCTGTCCCTGCCACACCCATTTTACAGACAAGGAAGTCGAGGCTAGAGAGCTTAGGTAACTGCCTCCTTGTTACAGCAAGAACGGACAACGTGGGGTTGGATGCGGGAAGGCAGGAGCACTGGGCCACTGCCCCGTATGCCAGTCCAGACCCAGGGTAGAAACCCCCTTACCGAGTGCTTTCCCATCCCCTCACGCCCCTGAAATACCAGCCCTTTAAGGAAGAATGCTCCGTTTGGTTGTTTTCTGACTAACTGAAAGCTCGGAGATGCCGTAACTTGCTATTAAGTCACTGAGCCAGTATTTCTTTCTTTTTAAAAAATTTTTATTTTTAAAATTTTTTTCCAGAGGGCATGTGCACTTTCCAGAGAAAAACGAGACAGAGAGACAAAAAGTGAGAAATCACTCCCCAGGGAGAATGGCTACACCACAATATCTTCTCCTCCATTTCTCCGTTTGCGATTTGGGGCATGTGCAAACACAAGCACCCAGCATGTTTTGTTGTTGGTGGTTTTTTTTTTTTTTTTTGGAGAGATTTTTGCGATAGGGCGCGTGCACTCACCAGACAGACAGAGAGACAGAAAGTGAGAAATCACCCCCCGGGGGGGATGGCCACGCCACAATCACCTCTACTCCTTTCTCTTCTCGGGATCTTGGGCACGCATGCACATGCGCCCGGCATGAGTTTTAAGCCACCAGGTCTGCGACTCGAACCGCAGTCGACTACATGGGAGTCCAGCGACATAGCCATTACGCTAACTGCTGGTTCCCTACATGCAAAAAATTTTTAAATGATCTTTAGAAACAGTAAAGTAATCAAGAAGATTATGGTACATCAACTGTACTGAACATTATCCAGCCAATAAAAAGGAAATTATAAAAGTGATTTAGAAATGCAAGAAATTCCATGATATGATGGGAAGTTAAAAGAGATTTCACTGAACGAACACAGGGACTCCAACTCTGAGAAACGTACTGCCCTGTGAACCAATACTGGAAGGATTTAGAGAAGTAGGAGCTGTAGTGAGTAAGATGCTAAGTGATTTATTTACCTTTTTCCAAGATTTTCTTTCATTTTTGTTTATACTTAAAGTAGACATCTTTTGGGACAACTGCCCAGCCCACAACCCTCTGGCCCAAACACTATGTCCCCACCCAAAAGTGTGAGTCCCCAGCAGCACCATTGCTGAGGTGTGACCCTGTGTCCTGGCGTGGTCGCCTGGACGTCTGGTCCACGCTGGACCTGATTCTGTCTACTGAGTCTGAAACTGGGCAGAGAAACGCTAGTGCCTCTGGGGTAGTCTTTTTTTTTTTCAAGACAGAATTCACATAGCATAAAAGTCACCATTTTAACTCATTTCAAGTGTACAATTCAGTAGGTTTTATTCACAATGTACACTCATGCCACTCTAAGTTTAGAACATTTTCCTCATCCCACCAAGACACGCTGCACCGTCAGCAGTGTTCCCCAAGTCCCCTCCCCTGCCCACCCAGCCCTGGCGACCGTGAATCTACTCTGTTTCCACCACTTCGCCTGTTCTAGACATTTCCTATAAAAGGAATCAAACACTGTGTGGTCTTCTGGGGCCTGGCTTCTTTCACTAGCAGCATGTTGTCGAGGTTCCTCCACGTCGTAGCATCCGTCAGCACATGGTTTGTTGTCACGATTGGACAGTATTCCGTAGCGTAGACAGACAGCGATTGGGGGACTCCATTCATCCGTTCAGGGACAGGCGGGTGGGCTGTACTTTTTGACTATTAACAGTAGTGCTGCTTTGAACATTCATGCACAAGTTTTTGTGTGAACATATGTTCACAATCCTCTTGGGCACCTCAGAGTGGAATTGCTGAGGCCATACGGCAGCTTTGTTTAACCGAGGTACTGCCAAACTGACTCCCCTGATGCATCATTTAACATTCTCACCGACAATAGAGCCTTTCAGTTTCTCTGTGCCCTCACCAACACTTATCTTCCTATTACTATTGTTATTTTAGCCATCCTTGTGAATGGGAAGTGATATCTCATGTGGGTTTGATTTGCATCTCCCTAATGACTAATCATGTCGAGCATCTTTTCATGTGTTTATTGGTCATTTCTGTACTTTGTTTAGAAAAATGTCTCTTCAGTTCCTTTGTCTAGTTTTTAAAGTTTGTTTATTTCCAGAGAAAGAGGAGACAGGAACCCTCATTAGGGTCTCCATGCCGTGATCCTCCCCACAACCTTGCAGCAGACAGGATCTTGAGCATACCCAAGCATGTTCAGGTAGACCTCAGGACATGGACCTGGAGCCCCCTCACATGGCCTCAAGCACCACACGACAGCATCCTTACTACCTGTATTGCCGAGGCTAGGCTCTTTGTCCATTTCTAATTGGGTTGTCTTTTTATTGTTGAGTTGTGGGAACTCTACATATTCCAAATACTAAACCCTGAGAAATATGATTTTCAAATATTTCTTCCATTCTTTGCTCTTTTAATTTTAATTGTATTTTTAAAATTTTAATTGTATTTGAATTTTTTAAATTTTAATTGTATTTATTATTATCTTTTAATTTTGGCCAGAGAGACAGAGAGAGGGAAAGGGAGAGAGCAAGCCAGCAGGGCTGGAACTTGGACCACATTCAGCCATGTGGGAGTCCAGAGCCCTAACAACCATGCCACCTGCTGGCCCCTGTTTTCACTTTCTTGATGGTAATGTTTGATGCATAAAAGTTTTGATGAGACCCAATGTATCCATTTTTCCTTTGTTGTTTGTGCTTTTGGTGTCACATTTTAAAAAATCCTTGCCTGATCCTCAGTCATGAACATTTACACCTATTTTCCTTTTTTTTGTTAAGAATTATTTAATTTAATTTAATTTATTTATTTAGTTTGACCAGAGAGGGAAAGGGAGAGGGAGAGAGAGAAAGTGAGAAAGCAGGCTGCTAGATCCAGGACTCGAACGTACAGCCGGCAAGGTGGGAGTCCAGTGCTCTTAACCACCATGCCACCTGCCAGCCTCCCCTATTTTCCCTTCTAAGAGTTGTATAGTTTTAGCTCTCACATTTATATTTTTTGATCCATTTTGAGTAAATTTTTGAATTTGGTGTGAGGCAAGAGTTCACATCCATTCTTTTGCTTGTGAATGTCTAGTTGTTCCAGTACCATTTGTTGAAGAGACTCATCTTTCCCACTGAATGATCTTAGAACCCTTGTCAAATAGAAAACAAATGGCCATGGATGTGCAAGTTTATTTCTGGATGCTTAATTTTATCTCATTGATCTCTGTGTCTGTTTTTCCACTACCACATTGTTTTTTTTTGTTTTGTTTTGTTTTTTTTTTTGAGAGGTTTTCGCTATAGGGCGCGTGCGCTCGCCAGACAGACAGAGAGAGACATAGAGACAGAAAGCGAGAAATCACCCCCCAGGGGGGATGGTCACGCCGCAATCCCTTCTCCTCCATTCTCCTCTCGGGATCTTGGGCACGCACGCACACGCGCCCGGCGTGAGATTTAAGCCACCGGGTCCGAGACGCGAACCGCGGTCGACTACGTGGGAGTCCAGCGACATAGCCATTACGCTAACTGCTGGTTCCCCACATTGTTTTGATTACTATAACTTTATAGTGTGTTTTGAAATCAGATGATATGAGCCTTGCAAGTTTGTTCTTTTCAAAGACTAGGCTGCTCACGGCCCCTAATACATATTTCTAAATTGATTTTAGCATTAGCTTTTCCTTTTCTGATTTAGAAAAAAAAAAGTTGGCATTTTAATAGGGGTTACATTGACTGTACAGTAATTTGGAGCGTATGCCATTTTAACAATATTAAATATTCCAGTCCAGGGTCAGGTCATTTAATGCCTGAGCCTCGTACAGAGCCTGGCACACACCGGCCAGTTAAGAGACATTCTGCTGAATGAATGAGGGCCAAAGAAGCAAACTGAATAGGGAACGAGATGCTTAAGCGAGCCTTGGGTTTACAGCCTACAGCAGGAAGCAGACAGGAGAGGTGGAGCGCTGGGAGTCACTCCTGTAAGACCTTGATAACGAATGACAGGTGCCTAAGCAGGGGTCACGCTAAAGCCACCTTGCCAGAGAAATACCGCGAGGACTTCTGAAGATGCGGATTCCCCCCAGACGCCCTGGGACAGGACTCTCCGGGATTCTGAGCCTGGAGCTCAGGAATGTGCGCGTGCAGCACGTTCCCGCGTGACTGGTGCACTGGAGATTGGAGCCTCTGGGGTCTAGAGAAGCCCTGCCTATGA